TCTGCTCGTTAAAAAGTTCTACACAGCAGAAGAACTGCATGGAGGGAACTGCACACGTGCACAGTGCTTACTGTTACCAGGCGCCAGTCTTCTGTGCATTAGCTGCATTGGAGTGCTTCAGGGCATGTGCGGAAGGGTCTTTTCTCAACTTACATGGCCCAGCACTCTTGCTCCTAAAGCCAGGGTTTCTGGGCTTTGGCTACTCTATTTAATGAATTAAAGCACTGATTTTGCTGTTAGCCGCTGCTGATAAAATGCAGCATTACCCCCAGAAAGATTTTGTTGTAAATTTGGGCAACAGCAGGATAAGAGAAGTGATATGTCTGTAAGCAGGGGTTGTATCTACCTCTTCTCTTAGGCCAATACTGTGTTTTTGTTCTTTCAAGCCAGCTGTTGAACCTGTGCAACCAATAATGGCTTGTAGGAAGAAGCTAAGAAGAGCTAATAACTCTTAAGACTCCTCTGGGGAGGAGGAATTATTGAAAGCATATGCAAACTTTGCACCTCCACTGTGGAAAACCAGTAATCATGCTGATTTCTGCATGTCTTCTTCCCCCCAAAAACTCAATGACTCCCTATACACTATGTTTTCACAATTACAGCAAGTGCAATAGCACTACCTTTCTGAAACCATACTGTATTTCTCTCCAATGTGCTTCACTCCATCCTAGATAATCTGAATATTTGTGTTGGAGTTTTGGAACACAAAGCTTACCATAAGGGTTAAAACTGGACTATCAGGAATCAGAATTACTAGAATGCCCTGCTTGAGCAAATTATATAAAATGCAAGGCAATTTATCTTTGCAGTATTAAGGCACCTAGGATACAAATTTAGGGGTAAAACATGGTATGTACTGTACCTGTAATGCTAACTGGGAAGTGGAGAGCATGCAGCTCAACCCTGAACTTGGTATGGCCCAGGGTTGCATAATGAGCAGGAATATATTTAGATTTCAATGGGATGTTTGTAAACCAGTGACAGATAGTGTTTCCAGGTCTGTTTTGGACACTGCTAAGATAAATCGTAGCATTGTTACAATCAGTAATGAAATTGCCACTGGGTATTAGTTGGCTGCTTTTAAATTGTTAACAAAAATCAGATGTTATTCTGTGAAGTTTTTTTTTTAATGAGTGTATTAGTATCCTGTTGTACATGTAATGTTTATATCAGGCAGATGGTACTCAGTAGAGCTGTTGCTATAAACATAGCCAAAATCTGAAGGTTACTGGGGGCTCTGATACATAGGTGGAGCTGTATGGAAGAAGCAGCTGCCCATTCACTCCAGCGTCAGAGAGTGCCCCAGACATAGTATCTGAAGACTATCGAGTCTGTGTAGTATTATTTAATCAAGCTGTTTCTTCACAATTTCCTGTGTTCCTGGCTGAGCTATAAGATACAGGTATGATGTTACCACTTAATACATCCATTGTCCAAGGACACAGAGTTAGAACTTGAATCAAATAGTGATACATGAAGTTGGAATATCATCACCGTGGTCTTTATTTTTCCCTCTGCAATGGGGAAAAAGGGTTTGAATTGTTTCTTTTGTTTTTAAGGGCAGCTGATTTCAGACAATCTGAAAACACTTGAGTGACTTCAAAAGTAAATGAGTGAAGCTTAATTAAGTTTTCGTCTAATCAGCTCCTCTCAAAACACTTTGTGTACTGGAGCACTTGAGTTTAGGAACAATCTGCCAAACACTGTCCTGTGTCAGTGGATTCATGTAAGGCTTATATAGGAGCTGCGCAAGACTCATGAATGGAAGCTCCCCAAGAGGAAGGATGCTTAATACCTGCAGTCAGTTTTTGACCCACTCTGGCAGCTTGATTCGTGCAGGCCAATCCAATGGGATTCTGTGTTGGCTCGTATCCCAATAACTCATTTCAGGTTTGGCCTTCCCATGGAAATGAGGAGTGGTGTGTTTGATCATCTGTTAGTCCTTTGCTCTTTCCTTGTGTTCATCCTTCATGTCTAGACTCAGAAGTAACAACTTGCTGATTCAGTTTTCCTCAGGCAAGCTTACATTTGTCTTATCCTGAACCTTGGACTATGATCTCCATTTCCCTTTTCACAACAAGCTTAGTTTTCTGAAAACCCCCGTTAAGAGCTTCTGGCAGCAGAAATTTTACCCCCAGGTGGTCTGCTTGGCTTGTAACCTCAAAAAAATATCCGGGATTACTGCCAATTTGATTTCTTTTTAGCTCACTGCAGTATTTTCAAATCTAGGCTGAGCTTTACTGCAAGGAGCTTTCTCAGCCAAGTCAATTATTTTTCTTAAGTATTGTAATCTGTTGGACTTAACATCATTTTACGAAGCCAGCATTGTGCAGACGTTTAAGGGTAACTAGCCCCTTTTCTTTCTTCACAATCCCCTTAAGACCGGCAGCCACATTCTGCACAATGTAAACTCTGTTAGGTTCAGCACTTGGGGTCCCTACTTGTTGGGGTACTCCGTTGTAATCGAGATGAGCTCCACCATCTGAAGAGAATTGTGGTGTTTGGTTGCAATCAACAACTGTTCCATTTTTACTTCATAGCAGGGGTCCAATTTGGATTAACCGCCTCAGTATCAGAATGTTTTCAGGCTCAGCACAACATGTAGTTCTCAGATTACAATCCGGATTTGGACTTTATACCCCTGTTCAGCATCAGTGTAAGCATGGCTAATATTAGCTTGTCAGGGCTTTCCAAATGACAGCTCATCCATGTTCCTGCCAAAATCACAATAATAGTTGTGCCTGTGGTCACCATCTTATCTGTTGAGTAAGGATAACACCACAGGCTCTGTGTAAATTCATGAATGTTCAGTTGCTCCAAATAGATACACATGGATTCAGCATCCACCAAAGACTACTTGTGCTGGAAAGTTGTGTTTTCCTCTCTCTTTGTGTGTGGGTGTGTGGTTTTAAATCAGTCTCTTCTAGAGTCTTCTTGAGTGCTGTGATATTTATGTTCTCAAGTATTTGGATGCAACATAATCTTGTACCCTGTTTTTTACCTATGCTTTGTACCTATTCTCAAATCTTTACCTAGCTGTTCTGGCTGCTTCATAAGCCAGAGTTCATTTAGTTGGTGGCTTCTTGTTTTGTGTTTATTTTTGCTTCTATTTCTTTGTGTGCCAGAAATTTTCTGACAGTTAATAATAAGACTCGTCAGCCGTGACATTAGAGAGGCAATCTGTGAATGACCAATTTTTAAGGGATTATTTCTTGTAGGAAAGGCAGATTGTGGTAAACAAACACATCTAAACTCCTGAACCAGAGGTGGAGTTAGGATCAGAAGAAGAAAATGCTGTTTCAGATTTTGTGTAATGCAGATAATAAGCACTGTTCTGACTCATTCCAAGAGGCTCAAAGTTGTCAGTGAACTGGTAGCTGGAAAAGGACAAATGAGTCGGGGGGCGTTTTACCCTCTCCATGCTAGTGTGGAAGTGTCTGTCTGTGTAATTATGGGTCATGTGTTTATAAGAGCACTCCAAACTCCTTAAAACAGTCAGGTCTTAACCGTTGGAAATACCTCTCTGACTTGCTAAGTTCTTTGGAGTCTGTCTGGAGTTCTGTTTCATACCGGTTGCAATAGTCTTTATGAAGAAATGTTAGAAGTGAAACTCTTGTATGCTTTATTAAATAATAAAAAAGTATCTGATTCAAGAATGCCATATAGTTGTGTGTGCTTTCTTGACTCTACGTTTCCAGTGAATGCAAGCTGTGTACACCAGTATAAACTGCTTAACTCCAGCGAACACCAGGGGACTAACGGAGGACCAAGTCTACACTACTCATAGTTTTTGTATTAATATCTGTGGGAGTGCTGAAAACACTCTCCGAAAAAAATGGTCAGTGAAAAGACTGACTTTCTTTACAACAGTGTCCAAACCCTGTTGCCTTCCATACCTGTTGCCTTCATTTGCCAAGAGTGATTTTGCCATGCTGTCAAATCAGACTGGCTGGGTAGAATTGTAACATCTCATTAACTTCTACATAAGATTAGACCAATTTATGATAGCCGTGAGAGTGATGGGATCCTCAAAAACCCATATGCCTGAATTCCAGTTGCTGTGGTGCTGCTGTGTGCATTTCTCAGAAGCATCTGTCCAGCCTCTTTAAAATGGATGCTGGACTAAATGGACCTTTGGTCCGATCAGCAGGGGAGCTCTTAAGCTGAATACCTTAAGGGTGTTTTTTATTGGGGGGGGGGGTTTACAACATTTTGTGCTAGGTATTTCTAGGAGGGTCACCCTGCTCCAATTAACGGTGTTTTTTAAAGAATGGAGGCTGCTTCAGTCCTGACTGGACTGGAGTCGAATGGCGTGTTACATTTGTTTCCGTGTTCCTTTTAAACTTATTTTTTCTGTTGCAAAAGCAGGGGGTGCTTTTCCAAGGGGGAGAAGGAGATGGGAAATGTATCCCCGCCCCGTTTTTCCCGTTGAAAGCCTCCTCCTCAGCTGCGTAAAACTGACATCTAACGAAAGCCATCGGTCTTTGTAACCAATAAAAAAAGTGTTTCGGATCTGAGTTCTACGCTCTCTACTACTCCCCAGCCGAGTTCCGTTCTAAGCGGCATTTTACAGCGCTCTGTTTCACCATCTGGGTATTCATTTAGAGGTATTTTTTAACCTTGTCTTTCTCCTAAAAAGATCGTTAAAGGCGGCTCAGTGTAATAATTACAAATGGAATAAAAATGAGTTAAAAGTGAAGTTTGAGTGCAGTGGCACATGTGCACACGAAAGCTCATATCCAGAATTAAACTTTGTTGGTCTTAAAGGTGCCGCTAGATTCCTACTTTGCTCTATTGCTTCAGACCAACACGGCTACCCACCCGAATAATTTAAAAATGATAAGCGTGTATTGCATAGGATCTGGCCACGCGGCTCAAGACCGCTCTACACGGCTAGTGGGGCGTAAATTTTACGTGCGGCTGAATATAGCTAGAAATGAGAGTTTCGACAGGGTCGGGTCATGGCTTTGCATGCAGAAGATCCCAGCGTTGGTCCCGAAGTGGAGATCGGACAACGGAGCGATGGGAAAGACGTCGAACTGGCGACCCGCTGCCGGTCACAGAAGGCAATACTGACCACCCAAAAACCCGACTCGGCAGCTTCAAGTCCGCCCATCCCAGGCACACTTACAAATAGGAAATTGGAAGAAGATAAAACGCGCCCCTCCGATCGCACCAACTGCAGTCCCCCCGTTGGCCAACAGAGGCGCCTCCAGCATCTTTCAACTACTCGAACAAACATTGCAAACGTCAAGGAACAGAATCAGGCGTTCGCGAGGGGCGGCCTGCCGGGGTCCTTTTTTTCGCCCCGTCTCGACTGGAGAGGAGAGCTACCAAGATGGCAGCTACAGCTGCGCGGCGGTTGGGAGTGGCCGCGGCGGGGCTGGGTGGCCGGTAGGTGACCGTGAGCCCCCCACCCCACCCGATGAGAGGCTACTTTCTCTTCTGCGCTGCTGAGGCCTCCCCGCCCCCGCCCCGAGGCAGCGCAGAGAAGGAGGGGGGATATTCCCATTAGAGCCCCTTCCGAGCGGTGGGCGAGGGCAGGCAAAGACGCCCCCTTTCCCATGATCGCGAGGTGGGGATTTTTGTCAAAAGGCTGTTTTAAAAGGTTATTAACACCGAGGTTTTCTTCTGCTTTCTCTAACGAAGTGTTGACGGGTTTCTTCGTCATACCGCTGTGTCTGGGGGTTTCCCGTGTTCATGAGGGAAAATCCCAAGGTTATTATGGTTCCCAGAGGGACCGCCGCCTTAGCCAGGAGAGGAGGAGTCTTGTGTAGCACCTGCAAGGCGTCCAGACTTGGCCCCTACAAAATACTAAAAACAAAGCGAGCCTTAATGTTAAAGTGGGAGGAGGGACTCGGATCTTCTGCAAAACCTCCGCTGTGCACTGTCCCTGTCGCAGATACCTCACAGCTGTTAGACATGCTCCTCAACTTCTAGAATAAGACAAGTGGGGACTTGCAAGAAACTTGGGGGAGCAGCTATCCCATTCCCCCCCACCTCTGCTTCTTCCCCTCTCCCCCTGATTCTCTCACACTCTTTTCACCTTCCTGCCAGTGCCACCCCTTTTGCTTCTCTCTCTCTCCCCTCCGCATGCAGCTGCTGGTGTGACCTTGGGTCAGTTACAAGTTTTTTCAGAGCTGTTCTCTCAAAGACAGTTCTCCAGAGAGCTCTCTCAGCCCCACCTACCACACAGGGTGTCTGTTGTGGGGAAGGGGATTGTAAGCCGCTCTGAGACTCCTTCAGGTAGTGAAGGGCAGGGTATAAATCCAATCTCTTTTTTTCTTCTTAGGGTTGGGACATACCTGGAGATTTGGGGGTGGAGCCATGGGAGGATGAGGGTTGAGCTTGGAAGTGACCTTAGCAGGTATAATACCATAAACCCCACCTTTCAAAGCAGACATTTTGGGGGGAGAACTGATCTCTGTCTTCTGAAGATCAGTTGTAATTCCAGATCTCCAGCCCTCACCTGGAGGTTGGCAACATTATTTCCCCTAGAGGGAATGACTGCTTTAGAGGGTGCACTGTTGCCATATCTGTCTGAAGTCCCTCCCCACCTCAATCCCCACCACCAGGCTTCACCCATCAAATATCCAGGAATTTCTCACTGGAGTTGGCATCCCCATCTCCTTCCCACCCAACAGCCAACGTATCTTTATCTGCTCCTCTGTCTTCAGCTTTCCATCTTCTTTCCCCCTGCAGCTTTTTCTGAGGAAAATGGTGGTCTTTCTCCACAGTGGGGATTAAACCAGTTTGTTATTCTCTCCTGCTTTTTATCCACACAACAACCCTATGAGATAGGTTGGGCTGAAAATATATGACTGGTCCAAAATCACCCAGTGAGCTTCCACAGCAAGATGGAGATCTAAATCTGGGTCTCGCAAACCCTACTCTGAAGCTCTGACCATTATACTACACTAACTTTCATAGAGTGGCTGCTGTTGAACAGTAGCAAGCAGCCAGGCCTAGTTGAATCATGCAAAATCAGATGATATCATCAAGTCACCCAGAGGGTGTTGCTAGGCTTAGGTTTGCCAGCTTCCAAGTGGGACCTGGATATCCCCCAGAATTACAACTGAACTCCAGACAACAGAGATCTGTCCCCCTGGAGAAAAATGGTAGACTCTGTGGCATTATATCTAGCTGAGGCCTCTCCCCTCCTGAAGCTCTGCACTCTTCAGACTTCACCACAGAATCTCCAGGAATTTACCAACCTGAAGTGGGCCATCCTAGTCCCAGGCCTGGCTCCAAAATAGGCCTGAAAAGTGCCCTCCCGCTCCCCTTGCCTTTTGAACCCAACCCCCCTTCCACTGTTTAGTCATTCAAACTGCAGGAGGAATCCTCTCCAGTCCAAGATCCAGTCCTGCTTTTGTTCCCTCCCATCTCTGACTGTCTCTCACTCTGGCTGTTACTGTCAATGCAGCTGGGCCTGGAATAGATCCCTGTGGTGGCCATTTCAAAAGGGAATTTTTTTTTGGGGGGGGGATTCAACCCTTCCCAGGTGTTTTTTTAACTTTTTGGATTTTTCTAGAAACCCGTGGAGTCCCCTGAGTCTGTAGAAAAACCTGTTCGGGGAGAGTGTGCCCCCTATCTGCGGAAATAAGTATCCACATGCAGAGGGGACTGTTCATTAGCTATATAGCATGTATTGAGCATTACACCCGGCATCTGAGTGGACATTAGAACATTTTTATTTTTAAAACCTTAAACTATGGAAATACATACCATCAGATATAAAATAGACCCTGACATTCCTCCAACTACAAAATATTACATAGATCCAGAAGACAGTTAACAAATGAAAAGCAGGATAAATAAGACATGAAATCCACCAAGTCAGCAGTGAAATGGGGTGGGGTAGGGGAGGAACAGGCACATTCCTAGGCAGCTGCAAAGTATGGATTTCGCTATCAGTAAAATTAATAGCAATTCCATTAATGTCACCTTTTAAGAAAAGCCTGATGGATGAAATGAATGCTAGTCCCTTGGATATTATGCACAAAAATACTTTACCACTCCAGTGCACAAGTTTGAAATCTTTCACAAAGAGAAGAGACACAAGTTGAAGGAAGTCTTAGGCTGGAGGAACTTTCTCCCATCTAAGCTAGGATATTGCCCAGTATTTTTATCTCTGTATTGTACTATGCAGTGTGGGAAGGTGAGAACAGCAACTTATTCAAAGCCATTTAGTGAATTTGTGGCTGGAGAGAGATTTAAACGGGGGAATTCCCAACTTACCTCTCACATTTTCCCCCTAATTAAATCCAAACAAATGGTGACCTGGTGACTGTATATACTTAGCTTGTTATTGCTGTTTGGCTTTTGCATATGTCAAAACATCTTCATTAAGTTGTATGCTAATTTGCTGTTCACCTACGTAGAGGCATCTGTCTATATACATGAACTGTTAACTTCCATTTCAGTGTGCATGCACACAAAAGTTCATACCTTGAATAAAACTTTGTTGGTCTTAAAGGTGCCACTGGACTCTAACGTTGTACGGTTCTTAGCCCATTGATAGGAAAAATTCCATCTGTTTAATTATTGCTACTTATTTAATTGCCATTGCAAAAGGCACAGTAGTAAGGCCAGCAAAGCAGTATACAGTCTCAGTTGTTTCCTAGATACCTTCAAGTGGCATAGACACTGTCTGTAGAACAACCTTGGCTGCGGTCACACGCAACATTAGCCACGCAAGAGATACGGAAGACAAGCGGAGTTTCCGGTCGCGATCTCACCAGCACATCTGGGAAGCGTAGTGCTTCCGTGGCACAACTGAGGCTTCCTGCCGAAAAAGCGCAGCAAAAAACTAGTACCTTGGAGGTACTAGTTTCCAGAAACTGTGGGGCAAGGGCGGGCGTCTGATCGCGTTTCCGGTGGTATCCGGCGCCCGCCCATGTCCCCTTGCGGAAAAGGGGTTTTTTTTCCCCACGTCTCCCTGGATGCGCACACGCACCCAACGGAGCATGCGCATTCGTAGTGTACACAAAAAAAGAAAACCAGTTCGCCGCGCCGCGCGCTTCTTCATTGCGCGCAGGCGTGTGTTGTGATCGGCACCTCTCCCTTGCCATGGAACCTCCACAGTACCTCCACAGAACCTCCACAGTAGGTCTGATCGCTTTACTGCATGTTAGTTTGCCCTGGGGCAAACAGCCACACTTCTCCTCTGCAGTTTCCTGCCCGTGTGACAGGGGCCCTTGATTTGCAGTGCAGTCCTAAGAAAAGTTATACTCTTCTATGTCCACTGAAGTCAGTGGAATCGGGGTGTAATTCTGTTGGTCTCTTAGACAGTCATTGAAATAATTTTATTGCATAAATATAATTGATACTTCAGAAGCTCCAGTGATACCAGTTTTCCGTTATGCTCTTCTAGGGAAAGGGGAAAACTGAATTGCACATGTGCTGTGCTGAATAGTGAGGTAGTAACTGCTGCCCAGAGGAACTGTTATCTTTTGTTGCTCTTGTATAACAGCATTAATGTCAATATAACCCAAAATTTCCATATTCTCCTTTAGAGAAGCACAAGATGAGCAGATCTTGTGAATAGATGATAGAAACCTTGAGTTCAAATCCTATCTCTCTGAGGACTCTTGAGCCACTAATCTTTAGCTCAGTGGCAAACCGGAGTTAGTGTGAGAGTGAAAGACATTAAAAAAATATTATTCTGTATCTAGCCCTGAGATGTAATCTAAATCTGAAATATTTATGTTTATTTAAAAATTTATACTCTTGCCTTTTGTGTTATGCAAGTCCACAACAGCTTAAAAAAAAGATGTCAGATAATCAGGACAATTTAAACATAGAAAAGTGAGAATGTGATTAAACCACAGCAAAACAAATCCAGAGACTAATCTCATAATAGCAGAGACAAAACCAAGCAAAGATTGTCAGCAGCAGAACTTTTTGTAAGCCCCCATGATTATCTAAATAACATTGCTTTAGCTTGTTATCAAAATGCTGTTCTTGGTAACACTGGTTTTTTTCTCTTTGAGTTTCTCTCATTGGGGAAGAAAAGAAGTTAATGTAGCAGCTAAAGCACCTCTACACTTTGCTGTACAACAGAAGCCATTCCTTTCCCCTGCAGTACTACGGATAGTGGGTAAGTGTAATTGTTGTTATGAAAGTAGATTCAGGTGGGTAGCCATATTGGTCTGAAGCAACAGAACAAAGTTTGAGTCCAGTGACACCTTTAAAACAAACAAACTTAAATTCTGGGTATAAGCCTTCGTGTGCATGCACACTTCTTCAGATACATTGAAACAGCACTTCCTCAACCACTAAATATTGCTGGTGGGGTTAGTTGCCAGGAAGATAATTAGAGTCAAGATGCATAAGTAACTGAGTGATAAGTATAGCTAAGTTTGGATTAAAGCAGTCTGTAAAACCTGTGAATAGCAGCAAATTAGCATACAGATAATAAACGAGTTAACAGATTGTTGGCTGTATGCCACAGAATTCATATATAGTGTAACATGAGGATGAGAACAACTACATTGTATCACAGAAATAGTTCATCTACTCAAATATCTTGATACCTAGTCAAACACAATGGCCCCAGGAGGTTCTACAATCAGAACCAGCAAACCAAAGTTGCATCCCATTCTTGGACCCCAGCGCTCGTATTTTCAGGGTTTCTACCTCTGAACATGGAGGCTACATTTAGTCATGGTAACCAACTGCTGTTGAGAGCTCTGTGCTCTAAGAATTTGTGTAATCATCTTTTAATGCCAATTAAATGAATGGCCATTGCTGTTAGAAGAGCAATTATTTCACATACTAGTTTCTTATGAATGGTTGGATGTCCGTCATCCAGATAGGGAGACTTGTTAGTTTTTAATTTGCCTGTCAGCCCTGCAGCTCCTTGTCACCACTGTACTTTGGTCACCATCTCTAGAAACAACAGGTCTTGCATTCCCCACACTTTCTGCAGTACAAAAAGATACAAAGAATTCATTCAGTTATTTTGCAGTCTCCTGGTCTTCATTTAGCAGTCGTATTAGCATTTTGTCTTTCTTCTTTCCTTTGCCCTTTATGTTCCTTTTGATTAATCACCTCACTTTTGCGAAGTGGTTGTGTTGGAATTTTGAGGCATCCTTCCATTATAAATGCTGAACTTAATAACTTTGTGATCACTGTTCCCAGTTGGTGCAACAGTACTTAATCTTGTGCAAGGTCCTGAGCAGTGCCAAGATAGTCACCTTACCTAGTCAGCTCTGTGACAGCTACTCCAAAGCATGATCATTTACAATACAGTATTGTGTAACACATCACGTATAACACATCACGTATAATATTTTATAGTTTGTTTCAGATCTTTGTAATCCTAGACCATATGCAGGGGATCCATTCCTAGGATCACTGTGAATGGTGAAAATCTCAGATACTGGGAAGCAGGGTTCTGATGCATTCCAATAGTTTAAAAACCCACCCTAAATTTCCCACAAAATTGATGTAATGATTGCAGTGATGGCACTGTGGGAGTAAAAACAGCCTGGACTCAGTGTCATGTGATCAGACTGTAGAGCACAAATAAGTGAAACCCCAAGCCATGAATCTGCGAATGGTGAGGGTCTACTTTATCTAGGAATGTCTGTAGGGGTGTGCAGGGGGGGGGGAAATCTTTTCTTTTTTTTTTGGATTAGAGTATAATAAAGCCGAATTTTTTGGTGTTCCCGAATATACCTTAATACCAATACTGGTATTGTATTGGCACCTGAAAATATTCGGTATTCCTGAAAATATTTGGTATTCCCGAAAATATTCGGCTCCATTATATCCTATGGGGCCATTGTAGTCAATGGCAAAAATCTTCTAATGAGTTTTCAGTGAGGTGGGGCGGAGGGGTTTGAGGTTGAGGCACCAAATTTGTATGGTAGCTGCTGAAGCCTCCCCCCAAAAGAACCCCCAAGTTTGGAAAGGATTGGACCAGGGGGTCCAATTCTAGGGACATCCAAAGAGGGTGCACCCAATCCTCCATTGTTTCTTGTGGAAGGGGAAAAAGGCAGGCAGCAGTGTCTCCCAGAGAATCTCTCACTAGAAAGTAAGTGAGGTGTGGTGTGAGGAGGCATATTTGCAAGGCCAGCAGCAGAACCGTGCAGTGTGCCCCCCAAAACCAGTGCCACTGTGGCAGTCAGTGCCCAAACCCAACAGGACTCAGGTCAAATCTGAGAATCTCTGGGGGCATGTTTGCAAGGCCAGCAGCAGAACCAGAACAAAAAAAAGCCCCAAAACCAAAAAAAAGCCCAAACAAGTCAAGAAATAAAATATCAAGCACAGTAAAAAATATAACTTTTAAACTGCAAAACAACAGGCTGGCAACAAAACCACAAACTATAAGAACCCTCCCCCCCAAAAAAAACCCCAGTGAGAGGCCCTATGGCCCAGAGGCCTACCCACGACCACCGCCAGGCCCCAAACCAACAAAATAAGAAAAGTTTTTAAAAAGTGGCCCTAATAAGTGTCAGGCTCCCCACAGCATCAAGGAAGTACACTCTTGTAGAAAGGTTTTACTTTATTTGAAGCTGTAGGTGCATGTACAGGATCACAGGGGGGAAAGCAATGAGCATGACAGGTTATTGTACATTCAAACAGCTGAGACCCAATTACGGGACTTCCCGCGCGCGCCATTGGACCTGGGAGCAAACATTTCTAGGTGGCATAACATATCTCCTTCCCACGGTTCACCGTGAGATCACCAAAGCAACTATCCAGCAGCAACCACCTGTGGCCTTGAGAGATATACACGTTCCAGTAGCTAAGCAATTAAGCACATCAACAGGTTTACATATGAAAGCGAAAGCACTCAAGCGCATACATGGGGAAATCAAAATAAAAGAAATTTGGCAGCTTGCTGACAATAAGTCAAACCAGTGTGATGTCTTCTCTTCAGTCTTCTTTTGTTGTCCAGCAGGCAGGATGGATTCTTGATCCGAAGTAGTCCAACAATCAGCAGCAGGAAAGCAGGCTCAGAGCAGTGGCTGAAGCAGAAACCAGCCACACAATCTCCAGCCCAGGCTCTCTCAGCAGCAGGAGGAGGAAATTGAATCAGCCAGCCAGAGATCCCTGCTTTTATGCTCTCTGGGCATACACAGAAGAATTTCAAAAAAGAACAAACTTCTGTGATTGGCCAAAGAGCAGTATGCAAAATCCTATTGGCCAGTGCTCCTCCCCTGGGAAAGCAGCAAGCTAGTAGCTGGGCTTCAACAAATGAAGCCAGCCAACAACAGCCTTGCAAGCTGCAATGGCATTTGCTAATGCATTGCAGTGATTGGCTGTCTGTAAGGTCCCTCTTCCTCCTCCCTCCTGGAAAGCAGAGCAAAGGGCGGGAAAGAGACAAAAACGGCAGGGAAAAGTAAGTGGAGCCCTTTAAAGCCTCCCAGGGCCCATATTCAGTAATGCCAAAAAAAGCCAAATTCCCCCCAAATATTTTTGGTTTTTTCCGACATTTAGTATTCGGCAGCCAAATCAGATCAGGGAATCTGATTCAGTATGCTAAATACCTGAAAAATGCCGAAAAGGCATTTTTCGGGGTTTTTTTTCAGTTTGGCTTTACCGAATGCACACCCTTAGTTGTCTGTTTCCCATGACATGAACTTAGATGTACTGAGTCAATGTGATGGCAGTTGAAATGATTCTTACTACACAATTTTCCACTGCAGTTGCCCTTTTGTTTCTTTCATTGTTTCATGATCACCCTCAGAAGCTTTGGACAAGCAGGCAAAAAGCCCAACAGAACTCTGCTTGTTAAAAAATCTTGTCCTGTTGGGATCTGTACTGCACAGCAGTTTTCGTTTGCTTGCATTCATATTTGAGTGTTTTACAAACATGATGTACCTACCAACCTGCATCTAGAAATGTAGTTCTTAGAAAAATGAGCAAGAAGCTGAACCCTGAAGAACATCCGCTCCACTAGTTTACATTTTCTGGGTCTTAACAAGGCTTCTTTAAGTGGCAAAAACAGGGACAGAATAAGGACAGTAATTTGTCAGGGGCAGGAGTTAGAAAGTAGGGCCTGTCCCTTGTCTGTAAGGGAAATTGGAGCATATGTACCTCTGACTTTTCCAGTCATGGGTTTATCTAGTCTGCTATCCAGTTGCAATTCCATTATAAAAGGTGGCCAGTTAGCATACCCTTGTGTGTTTAACATTTAATAGGTACTCAGTGCGTAAGTTTGTGCCAATAAAGGTCCAGTACACTTAAGACAGTAGTTGTAGTAATACAATTGGAGGTTATACAGGCTTTTCTTAACTTATAAGGATCACATGGACTAACTTTGAGAATTTCTGTCCTATAAATACGTCCATGCTGGTTTTTGAATTTTTGTCTCCTAAAGATCTGAGTACGCTAAAATATGCATTAAAGTAAAATGGGCTGTTGCTATGGCATGCATTTGCAATAGCAGTCTGGTGATTTATCACTTGCTTGTTTTGTTAGGTAATGACAGAATAAAACTGTGTATAAAATTAATGCTTAAGGGCTTATTTTTGTTTCTTCGATGCTAACAGAAGTAATTTCTCCTTGTTACATTAGTTTAATCCTCAGAGAGTAACTGCGTTTGCAAATAATAAATATGCAATATGTATGTATGTAAATTCACAAGGGATTTTAAATGTAAATATTAGCTGCTGTGCTTAGCTGACTCTTGTATTGGGCTGCTTGAGCAGTGAGGAAGGGAAGTAATATCATCTAGTAATACCTGTCAATGGCTATCAGCTGCAATAGCAAAATGCAGTTTCCATGTTTGGAGACAGTGTGCTTCTGAGTACTAGATGTTTGGTGACAAATAGCAGGCGAAGGTCATTACCTTCCAGTCCTGCTTGTGAATACCCAGAAGTATCCTATGTGTCATTGTGGGGGAAAGCATGATAGATTAGTGCAGGAGAGCATTTTTATAAAGGCAGTAGAGTTGTAGTTGTCCAAGAAAAATTGTAGGCCACCTCCCCCCTTCTTATAATGCTTTCTTTATTGGATGCACAATAATGTTTTTACTTGAATATTCTCTGATTGTGTAATCCCTTTTCTTTTTTGGTTTATCAAAAAGTATTATACTGGTCTTTGTTACACTGCTTTATAATTCTGTACTATACCTTGAGTCTCCATGAGAAAGGTAGAGGGTAAATGATGGAAGTAAGTGAATAAAGATTACATGGACCCTTATTTTCATCCAACAGGGCTTTTTTACACTGTGTTTTATGATGTTTTTGTTGAAATTGGGTTGTGTAAATGGCTTGGGTCTGTCTGCATCTGTGTATAAATAAATAATTCTTTTTTATTTCAGCAAGATATATGTTTATTCAGACACACGACACTCCAAACCCAAACAGCTTGAAATTTATCCCAGGCAAGCCAGTCCTGGAAGCTAGAACTATAGAATTCACCTCTCCGGCTTCCACGTATTGCTCCCCCTTAGCAAGGTGTGTGAGTGTTTTGTAATTTGTGTGCAATAACTTATTTATATGTCCAATTTATTTACATAGTGGTAAGCTATATGTTGCACTGACTGATGCCATGCATCACAAACACTTATTAGCCCTGTGTCTTGTAGAGTGTCTTTGGAAGGGGGTGGAGGAGTGACAGACCATGGCTCAGTGGTCAAGCATCTTTTTGGCATGCAGAAGTTTCCAGGTTCAATCCATGACATCTCCATTTAAAAGGATCAGATAGTAGGTGATGACAAAGCTGTTGGCCTGAGATCCTGGAGAGCTGCTGCCTGTATCAACCCTGACAGACCAGTGGTCTGACTCTGTAGAAGGCAATGTCATGTTTGTCCAAGGTAGTTTTTCCCCATGAAACTCCCTACTGTTTACTCCTAACAGTACTGCATGCAGACCCATGTTTATCTGACAAGCACTAGTCTGGAATCTTGTGATCTAAAAGCAGCTGGTGAGGGAAAGGAGGCATCAGTGGGACCATGACTGTTATTGGAAAGACTAAGCATGCCCATTTCTTCTATGTGCATAATTGTTCCCCCTCATTCAAGGATGATTTGTTACACTTAGCAGCAGTGTCATGACTCATGTGTACTTTGCCCTACATGTACCACAAAGACCTTGTCTTTGATCTCCCTGCACTGATGTTGTGTTCAGTGAGAAGAGCTGTGACTTGACTTTTATAGGTCATTATCTATCACACAGGGTTTGTGTGAGTGTAAAGGGCTACTATAGCATACCGCTATAATAATGTCGACATTGTCTTAAGTGGGATTAGCTCAGCCTTGCAAAGAAGACTTCAACATTTTCGGCTGGTTTGCTTGCCCACTTATAGCTTTCTGGGCAATTTGTGGCATGTTAAGGTCCTGAAACAAAAAAAAGGACAACCTCTGTTGTAGCTTATGACATCTTCCTGGTGGGGTTGTCTGAAGGGGACTATTAGCTGGCCTGTCAAGTGGCCATTTACAATCCTAGATATCTTTAACTGGCTTATATACACATGTTTTCTTAAAGCCACCAAGTTTAGGCTTGCAGCTTGGATCCCATGAACAAGTTCCGTGCATGCTACATAGTTTGTGCTATCACTTTTGCTTGCTCATGGCCTCATTTAAAACCATTGATCCTGAGCAAATGGAAGTGTTAACACTAGAGGAAGTGCACTGTGCTGCAGAAATTACCCCATGGAACGTGTTCATAGGATGCAGGGTTACAGGTTATGCTGTCAAGTGACAGGACTGCCTGCATGAAGTAATCCTAAGAAACCAGGAAGCTGATGGTGGACAAGGATGTGGAAGGTAGACTTTATTTTTCAGGGTCTCCTTTTTTTCTGTAGGCAGCTTTTCAGGATTGAAGGAGTTAAAAGTGTGTTCTTCGGAAGAGACTTCATCACAGTAACAAAGGTAAGTCTGAAGATTTTAATGCTTTAAACATGACTGGAAGTTTGTGCAAGTCTGCAGGGAGTAATAAGGGAATTATGCCCCTTTCTGGAATAATTTAGTGTATGCTGAAAATCTTTGTTTAATGCATTCAAAAAATAAACAGTACAGAAGATTTGTGTAAATTTAAGCAGAAACTACATGCTGCTTTCTCGTTTGCATTTGCCAAATATGAGTTTTAGACATGATTACTGATCAAAGATGATCACTTCTTCTTTCCTTTCTATGAACTGTTATTTGTGTTTAGAATTTTAAACAGCAATTTTTAAGCATTTTTTTCACTGTTTTTGGTCCTATCTCAAGGGATTTGTGCAGGTGATGACACTATAATGAGAAAAAGTATAGGCTTGTCTCAATGGAGTTGACTTAAATTTACAGTGCAATCCTATACACAGCTATTCCAGTATGGACTCATTTATTTCAGTGGGTTTAGACTGGAGTAACTCGGCATAAGACTGCTCTGTTAAAGCCCAGTCATATGCATGCATGTTTGCTTAGAAATAAAACCTGCTAAGTTAAATAGAATTTACTCTGAAATTTACTCTAAATTTACATAAGAATGTAGCCTTTGATAGTATGCCTGTTTTTCAAGTAGTCAGCAACATGGTAAAATAACAAATGACTGTAAATTAACTTAAAAAGATAATTAAATTGTATGATAATATAAAAGCAACTTTAAAAAATGGTAGCTGCAGAGACTGGCTTGCACAGACTCACAACTGTGAGCATTCCTGTCATAATGGCATGTGGTTCAACATGATTCAAACAAGGGTTCAAAATCTAAGAAAAAGACAAAGTCTTATGACCTCGTACAGTCATCTAGGTGTGAATGAATGAATGAATGAAACCTCCCATTTTGGCTTTCTTAAAATCTCACAATAAACTGGTTTGATCTACCAGATATACAACAGACAGGCAAAGGTCTAGAGCTGCTTGTTCTTGGTCCATCTTCTCTGCTCCTAAATTCTTAAATTCACACCTGTCTCCGTGCTGCAGCAGCGTCTGTCATAGATACTCTTTGTCAGTCAGTCCAGTCATCTTGACAGACTGGTTTACAAACAACTTCAGAGTTGATTGTCAGCTTTTCAGAAGCCATGAGTTGCTCCTTTGACATACGAAACCATAGTTAATCTTCCTTAGTCATGGTTTGGTGGGGATGTCTAAGATGAGGCTAGAAGTATTGAAATGAGTTGAATTATATGTCTCTACATACATTTGCTAGTTTGCTATGGCTGCACATTGGATTAACTTCAGAAACAATAGGGTTGGGCTGCAGACTGACAAAATTATTCAAGGGATGATTCATGCACAGAGCATTGTGAGTTGAAGCCAATTTATTCCAGGGGAAAAAAACCAGTCTAGCTAAGGCTGATACTCCATTCACAAGCCGTAATAGCACAATTTCAGTTCAGAAGATTAAAGTGATAAATACATGAATAAATCCATCTGATTCATTGATACAAATATGAAATGTGAGGCTTCTTTTCTGTTCTGGAGGCTGCAAATAGGAGCATGCAAGCAGTGTGGAACTTCTGGACCTGATGTGACCAACTAAGCCATTGTGTGGCTAAGGACCAAACAGCCACAATGCTGTCTCAAAAAACACCACCTCTTCCCAAGTGCACAGTTAATAATCTGAGATCCAACTGGGATGCCCCAATATTACTCTGTGTTTGTGTGGCTGAGACAAAGGTGTGAAAAGAGGCATTTTCAGTGACTGTCTCCAAATTATGGAGTTACTTCCCACTATAGACTCGCCAAGGTCTAAGCTGGATCACTTCAAGGTTAACTCAGGAAGGGATGGAGAAATTTCACTGAAAATGGTGATTTTGGTTTTAATCTGTCCGACCCCTTCAGAGTAGATGGTGCTGTAAATCTCTCATTTAGTGCTGAAAACTCTAGAATTCATGGTCGCCCAATGGAATTGATGGCAGTAGGTTCAAGTAGAGAAAAGTGTGTGCTTGTTTAGAATAGTGCATAATATAACTATGGCATTTGCTGCTATAAGATGCAGTCATGGCAACTTGCACAGTTGTTGGAGAAATTGATAGAGGGGCCCATCTGCTAGGAGCTACTAGCCATAATAGTTAAACATGGAACTTTTGTGTACAGAGGCAGTTACTAAATACTGGGGATATACAACAGGAAGACTGTTGCCTTCATACTCTACTTGTGACTTTCCCAGGAGCATCTCACTGAGCACTGTTGAAAAGAGACCATTGGATTAGTTGAACCTTTATCTGATCCAGCAAGGCCATTCATATATTGTTATGCTTTTAAATACCTTTAGGAAAGTGAAGATACTGATTGGAACATAATAAAACCAGATATTTATGCAACCATAATGGATTTCTATGCTTCTGGATTACCTATTATTACTGAAGAGGCACCTCGTACAGACACAGGTAAATGTCCAAGAACAGACAAATTCACAGAGGAGAAAAATTTAAATAGCTATTGATCATGATGGCTAGATGTTCAGAAATGGTATATCTCTTAGTGTCAATGCTAGGATATCAGTGGGAAAACCATCCTCTTCATGCCCTGTGGTGGCCTTCCAAGAAGCATCTAACTGGCCACAGGTGGAGACAGTGCCATGTTTTGCTGGATCCAGGAAGGCTCTTGCCTTGTTTGTAAGTGAGTTAATCAAAGCTATGGTGTGGCTTTGTCAGCTGTATTAGTCTGGAACTCAGTTGGATGTCCTTGAGTTTTTTTCTTGTGTTCACTGCATTTTTCCTATTTTTAAAATACAGGTTTTTGTAGTGCATTTGCTCTGCATAGTTTTTGTTCGGGATGTACAGGGATCCCCCTGCTTCTGAAGGATTATATAAAAGTTTTAATCCTGACTCAGTGCTTTCCCAGTAGTACCAGGAACAGGAACTAGTAATAAAGGGAATTTCTTATCTTAAACTGTAAAGAGGATCAAAATGTATGTTAATTAACTGTATTGTGCAGATTATTGCTTGAGTCAGATTTGCATCTCAGAAAACTTCAAATGTGCATTGTCATTTTCTAACAGTAATGAGTGGAGGACCCCTGACAACTTGCAGGGGAGGGAACATGCCATTCTACCCTACCCTGATGGTCTCTGGGGTCTCTCTATGAGAAGCAGTGGCTTATAGCAAAAAATGCACAAGGCATGTTTTTTGTTCCAAACTTCCCCATTACTGTGACTGCCACTGGCCAACCTGGGATTGAAGCAGAAAGTGTGCCAAGTGCACTTTCCACTCCAATCCCCCCCTCAGTCAACTAGCAGGGAACTTGAAGAGGAAAGGACATCTGGCATGCTTTCTGCTCCAAGCCCACCTTCACCCCTCCCTCCTAATCATCTGGCTGGTGATGGTCTGGAGGGAGGCTTGGAGAGGAAAGGGCACAGGAAGTGCTGTCTCCCCCAAGCAACCTCCAGCCAGGATGCCACTGAGATATTGTGATATAGTGTCACAAGATCTCATTTGGCATTTTGTTTTGTATGAGTTGCCTATGGGGGATGTTACCCCTATTTTTATGTTTAGTTTTGGATTTGTCTGTAAGCCTTTTTAGAAACAGATTACGTGTGTGTGTGTGTGTTAGGTGCCATCAAGTCACTTCCAACTTATGGCGACCCTAATGTCCTCATGTTAACAGCCATTCTCAGGTCTTGCAAACTAAGAGCTGTGGCTTCCTTGGTTGAGTCAGTCCATCTCAGGTTGGGTCTTCCTCTTTTCCTGCTGCCTTCAACTTTTTCTATCATTATTGTCTTTTCCAGTGACTCTTGTCTTCTCATAATGTGACCAAAGTACAATAGCCTCAGTTTAGTGATTTTAGATTGTAGGAAGAGTTCAGGTAAATAAGTTCTAGAACCCACTTATTTGTATTTTTAGGTAGTCCACAGTACCCATAAAACTCTCCTCCAACACCATATTTCAAATGAATCAACTTTCTTCCTGTCAGCTTTCTTCATTGTCCAGCTTTCAAACCTATACATACTAATGGGGAATTCCATGGCATGAATCAACTTGACCTTGCTCACCAGTGACACATCCTTACACTTAAGGATCATTTCTAGTTCTTTCATGGTTGCCCTTCCCAGTCTCAATCTCCTTCTGATTTCTTGGATGCATTCTCCCTTTTGGTTGATGATGGAGCCAAGAAATAGAAAATCTTGAACAATTTCAGTTTCTTCATCATCAGCCTTTTGTCTTCTTGATGTTTAGCTGTAATCCTGCTTTTTACGTTTCAGTACTTCTTGTATTGATTTTTTCACTGATTTTATTGATTTTTCGTTCTGGGGTCCAGTTAAGGATAAGATACATGATTGTTTATCTCTTATTTATTTCTATGCCACCTCTTCAGAATTACAATTAATATGTTTTTATTTTTGCCTCATGAAAACCACTCAAGTTTCCTCTGAAGAAGATGATGACGTTGTATCAATGATAAAAGAACTGCTGGAGACTCGGATTAGGTAATTGCAAGCTTTTCCTGCTATAGTATTGCCTGTATAAAACACTTGTGTTGCTGGGTTGGAGGGAGTTCTGAATATGTCATTCAAAGCATAGCCAGTTTGGCATGTTGACAGACAAGCCTGCACTTCTTTTTAGGTTTTGTATGAAAGCAACATTGTGTTCATTGTGTGATCTGGTGATTCTGCTAGTCCATTGGGCTTGTCAGTGGATAGCATTGACACCCCATGTATCTCCCTTGAGGCTTTCAGAAATTTTTGGAAGAGGTGTGTGAGCTAAAAAGGCAGAGTTGGTACTGAGCTTTTCCAAACATGTATAAAATTGGGAAAGGATAACATGTTTTAAAATGTTAGTGAGGTGAATACTCTATGTTCTGTTAAATACACGTCTCCTTGATTTAAAAGCTTTATAATTCTGTGTCCAGTATATTTCTGTAAAAATTGCTTGTCCTCTAACGTTACTCAGAAAGACATTTGAAAAACTTCTGTACAGTTGTACATTTATATTTTGTTGCGTCTGTCAATATTGATACTGAAGCACTTCCAGCCTCCTTGCATATGCCAGTTCCACAAACAGAGAGTTTGTTGTTTCTTTTTGAAAATATCTGGAACTCTAAGAGAAGCACAAGCTTGGGGCAAGTGGGAAATGAAGATACTGATTTCCTTGCAAGGCTGCTGAGGCTGGAGCTCTGAAGTAGCTTTTGAGAGCTTTCCTAGGAGATGTTGGTTATAGTAGTGATAAATATGAGAAGTCTCTAAATTAATTGATCAGGGATGCAAGCTAATGTATAGAGGTTCTGTATAAAGAATGTAAGGCTTTTTAGTGTAGTAGAGAGTTGTTGTTGTTGGGACATTATATTAATATTTGCATTTACATATGGGAGGAAACTGGGATGGAAAATGGTAACTATTTCTGAGATTCAAACCCATGAGTTTAGAGGATCAGACCCAAGATGAGCTTATAAAGGAGGGGTATCATATCTTGGCCAGTACACGAAAATATGAATTTTGGAAAGATTCTTAAATGCTGAAAGGATGGAAGAGAAGTCGTTATCATTCAACGATAACCAAAACGTCTCCCTTCTCCAGCAACACAGTAAAAAGCAAATATTTCTTGCTTGTAGAAATCAAGATGAAGCATTCAGAAGCACAAATGTTAATATATATACGGTAGCCTCCAGTTAATTGTGATAAAGGTTTAGCAGCCAAGGGGAAGCTGAGGAGAGCTGCCAGGAGGAAAAGGCTTGGTGCTCTGATTAGCTTCTCTTCCCCTGCCCAAACATGGACAACATAAATATATGCAAAGGTTTGCATTCTTTTTCTTGTTGCAAAATTCAGTATGGAATGTGGGTTTTTGGATAGAGGCTTTTCCTTTAAACAGTGGTTCCAAAACTTTTTGAGGTAGAATCTACTTTTGAACTCACTGTACCAAAGTAACTCCCTCTCCACACCACAAAATGTAGGAATACTTCAGTAGTTAACAATGGGCAAGTTTGTATTCCATTTTTCATGTTTAGTATTGATAAATATATAGCCTTCCTGAGCCGCAGGTGTATTTCATGACAGTTTTGCACTTTATGCAGAGGCAAAACCCTGTTTTCCATTGATCCTCTTAGAGGCTCCTCTCTCGGCTCCCTCTGTTTCTCCCCCTCCTGGCCTCACAGCCCACCTGCAAGAGAGTTGTGTTCCCTCTAAGCTGTGGAGTCTTGTGAGCAAAAAATCTACTTTGTGAGCTACTGGCATTAAAGTTGTGAGCAAGCGATCTGGCTACTGCATAAATTAGTTTGCTCTGGAGCCATCCCTCCTGAGCTGAGACAAAAATCTGTGAGTCAGAGGCTAAAAAACTGTGAGCTAGCTCACACTAACTCAGCTTAGAGGGAACACTGGTTGTGACCCCTCTTTTGGGTTCCAACCCACAGTTCGAGAACCACTGCCTTAAAATAAACAGGGTGTACACGACAACCGTACTCTGGCTGTGATGGTCTAGGAAAGTTTTTGCAGATAAAACAGATCTGAAAGAGGAGCAAAGACGTGGATTGATGGATCGGAAGCGGCAGGCTATCGGAAGAGGCAGGCTATCCTAGGCATGGGCACTGCCGCAGTAGAAGAGGTGGGAGTGGAAGAAAGGAGAGGAGAGAGAAGCTGGGGGGGTGTGTGCTCTGAGCCTTAGTGGCCTTAAGTATTTAAATGGTTTATTCACTAATATTTTTATTCTGCACCATTCAAATATCTATTCAATGTCCCTCAGGCCAACTGTCCAGGAAGATGGTGGTGATGTCATATTTAAGGGTTTTGAAGATGGAATTGTGCAGTTAAAATTGCAGGGCGCATGCACTAGCTGTCCCAGTTCCATCATAACACTGAAGAATGGAATTCAAAATATGCTGCAGTTCTATATTCCAGAAGTAGAAGGTGTGGAACAGGTAAGTGCATTTTAAAGGGTGTACTGAGTTTTGTAACACAGCTTTTTAAATTTATAGCTCCTTCTCCACACCACACCAAAATAACTCTGCAAGGTTTAAAAAAGTCTCAAAATCTAATGACTGTTTAAAATTGATGAGGATCTTAAGAAAAAAGACCAGTGTATAAAATAGATTAATTTTCGTAAAGGACACGGCTGAAACTGAAAAAAGTGGGGCTGGGTGGAGTTTGTTTAGGGAATGGAAAGCAGCTGAGTTGTGTGGCAGGAGGGGGGTGACCAGGCAGGAGAGTTGTAGGAAAATCATGTGTTGCTTTAGAATCTACTACTACAGCCACTGGGGGGGTGGGGAGGGAATAGAGCCACCTTTTGAGCTCAGTCTCATTGAATTCTCATAAGAACACAAGAACAGCCTTGCTGGATCAGACCAGTGGTCCATCTAGTCCAACATCCTGTTTCATACAGTTGTCAACTAGTTGCCCTGAAGAGCCACAAATAGGGCATAGGGGCCAGGGCCTTCCCCTAGGGTTGCCAAGTCTTCTTACCTTGGCAGCGGGGGAGCCTCGCTGGGCTCCGGGAGTTCCTTGGTGGTGCGTGCGCGCCGCCAGCACGTCACAGGAAGTGACATGCTACGTCACTCACGTTGAGGGTGTGGCCCAGATCGTCAGAGGGAAAACCATAGAGTTTTCCCTTCGATGATCTGGGCCACGCCCCCAATGTGAGCTGGTTGTGGTTCGGGGGGCAGGGGCCCCCCCCCCCCCGGGGCCCGATTCCGCGGCGGTGGAAATCGGGCCTCCAAAGCGGGGGTTTCCCCACCCCCCGCCACCACTTGGCAGCCCTATCTTCCCCTGATACTGCCTCCTGGTACTGGTATTCCAACGTTAAGTGCCTCTGGACATGAAGGTATTTCCTTTTGTCACTGTGCCTAGTAGCCACTACTGGACCTATGGCCTCCATGGATGTGTCTTATCCACATCCATGCTCAATGGCCATCACTGTGTCAGCATGGTGTGGTGGTTAAGAGCGTTGGACTAGTATCTGGGAGACCGAGGCACAAATCCCCACTCGTGCCATGGAAGCTCGCTGGGTGACCTTGGACCCAGCCATACACTCTCAGCCTAACCTACCTCACAGGGTTGCTGTGAGGATAAAATGGAGGAGAGGAGAATGATGTAAACTGCTTTGGGTCCCCATTGGGGGAAAAGGCAGAGTATAAATTAATTAATTAATTAAGTAAATAAATATGTCCAACTGGCAGTAAATTCCACAATTTAATTATTTGTTGAGTAATGAAGTTATTTTCTCCTTACTACAGCTTTTGTCACACATGGCTTTTGTCCATGATCCCCAGCATGCCCTTTTTGGGTGGTCAAATGAGATCCTTCCTCCCTTTTTCACAAGTAGTAAAAATGGTAGGCGCCCACCCAGGGAGTGGGCCCTTGTGCCTTCCAGAGTTGTGTAGAAGGAAAGTTCTATCATGTGCTTCTCCCATCACTGCAATTCTGTAATGCGGAAAGTCACACCTAGTGAAGTTCTCATTCTGTGCAACTCTTGTAAGTAGAGGGGTGAAATCTGTGGAAAACCTCTTGGGGCACAAGGCCTAAGAGGCTAACACGGGGAGGACAGGGTTAATTTTACTGATGGGCAGGCTCCCTGAAGTATTAGGGTCAGAGACATTGGCAAGAGGCAGCACTTGCTGCCCTTTCTCTGACAGAAGCAGCTTCCTGAGAGGAATGTGTCGCCCACTCTTCTGACCTTACTGAAGAGGATTTCTTTTGTCATTTTGTTGTCTCACGCATGCGGCATTAAAGTATGACATTTTAACTTTCTAACTGTGAATTTTTTTGGAAGTACTGTTTTATTTTCACCAGTAAATTATGGGCTGAAGATCATGTGACAGGCTGCACATGGAAGGAAGCCATTGTGTATAACAGTATCCTTGAGAGAGTTTTGTTTCTCTAAATGATAGTAAGATTCTATTGTATAATGAATGTCTTTATTTTTAATACACTTTGTAAAAAAAACAGTTCTGCTACATTGCCCTGAATGCTGGTAGCTCAGCTAATGAGTCTTGGCAGCGGCCGTGGTTGTTCTGACACGTTATTTTGTGTAGATAACTATTGTCTTTATTTCTGAAATTAACTGTGTCCCATGCCTTCATATTCTGTATGTCTGTATGTTTTTATTGTGGTGTTAAATATTTATATATACATTTTAAATGCTATTTTAAAAGTTTTAATGCCTTAGTTGTTCACCACCTTGAGGACTCCATTTGGATGGAGAGGTGGCCTTTAAATGTTTTAAATAAATAATAAATTAAAGCCTGTTGCCTTTCAGGTTGTTGATGATGATAAAGAAGAAGCAAACTCAGCCTGAATTAGTGAAAGCTTTGGACTTTATTTTCCATCTGGCTTTGCCCAAGATAGCCTGTTGAAAGAGGCCAACTTTCATCACCACCTTTTCCAGACATTTGGTGGACTGCTTTTATCACTGATTCTTAAGACACAAAGTCAATAGTGTTCTTACCCATCTTCTTTTCAGGGCTTTTTTTTTTTTTATAAACACAAGAAATATGTAGAATTTTGGTTCAAATAAATGTCATATATTATTAAATCGATTCCTTTTCGTGGAATTCGATAACTCCTGCGGTATCCGGTAGCTGTATTCTGAAGTTAACAGTGCCTTGATAAATACGATGTGAGGCAGAGGAGGGATACACCTTGATTGCGTGTTCACATTTATTAATTTGGATAAGAATTTATACTTCACCTGAAAAGTGTAAATGTGCCACAAATGGTGTTACTATGCTTAACTACCCTGCTGGTGAGTACAGCAAGGTAATTAAAAAGTCCTATGATCCAACTAATTTACATTATGCAACTGTGTGCCACTGGAAGAATATGTGCACTTTACAGGAGCTGGAACTCCTTAGGAAAACTGAAAACTAGCTTTTTCAGTGAAGGCAAACGTCAAACTGCTTTGCCTAAGTGGCTGGGTTTCTAGTTTGAGTGAGCATGTGATTGGATGTTTAAGATCAGCCTCTTTAGTGAACTAACTGATTTGATGATAGGGGTTAAAATCGTTTAAAAATGTGACCACAGCATAAAATCTGTCTGCTGTTTGAAATATTTAACATAGCAGCAGTTAGAATTCCCACTGGGAAAAAAAATGTAATAGCTCGTAGTAAAATTGAAATTCATATTTTGAACTACCATGTTACTTTTCCCTGAAGAAAATGTAAGTATGTAGCGTATTCCCCAAAGAAAAAGCTGTTAATTGGAGTCTTCAAAGTATATAAATAACTGGTGTGTTTTGGTTTTCCAAAATAAAGCAAATACTGGCTTCATTATGGGTTCTCTTACTAGCTTGCTGTCCTGTTGCAAGACAAATATAAAATGTTATTGGTTCTCTGTTGTATGATGTGGTGTCTCAAGTCTTCTGGTCAATCATTTTTAGCTTACCTTGCTACTCTGTAGAGATTTATAGTGCAATCCTAAACAGATTATACCCTTCTAAACCCATGGCTTTAGAAGGGTATAACTCTGTTTAGAATACACTGCTAAGAGCCATACCACCTAAATCTAGTTTACTTTCTTCACCCATTTATTTATCTCAGAAAACTTGTATCCTACATATCCTCATTTCAGATTTTTCAAGGCAGCTTAGTTGAATCAATAAAACAATAATTGCTAATAAAATATAAATAATAAAACAGTCAGTTAAACATGAAAAGGACAGTAGCTAGGAGCTAAAAGAATACAAATTATTATCTTGCTGCACCAAAATCTGCTGTTGGGCAGCCAGTCTGACTCTAGACCGGAAGATTGGACCCGGCACTGCAGGCCATGGCTGGTTGGCTTAGACTGAGCCAACTGAAATTGAATCCAATTAAGACGGAAGTCCTGTGCCTGAGTCAAGGCGGCCCGGGGTTAGGGATCCCACTCCCGACCTTTGATGGGGTGCCATTGGTGTTAGCGCCAGAGGATAGGAGTTTGGGAGTGCTCTTGGATGCCTCCTTAATAATGGAGGTCCAGGTAGCAACTACTGCTAAGTCAGCCTTTTATCATCTTCGGCTGATTGATCAGGCAGCTAGTTCCCTTCCTCAAATGCAACAACTTGGTGACAGTGATCCATGGAATAGTCACCTCAAATTAGACTACTGTAACGCTCTTTACATGGGGCTGCCCTTGTCCCAATTCCAGAAGCTTCAGCTGGTGCGGAATGCTGCGGCCAGGCTATTATTGGGCCTCCCCATGTGGGAGCACATCCAGCCATTGCTGTAGTGGCTGCCTATAGTGTACCGAATTTGCTTCGAGGTGCTGGTTCTTACCTTTTAAGCCCTTTATGGTCAGGGACTT